AAAAAAAGCTGTTATATGCATGTGATCAGTGTCGTTAAAAAAAATCAGTTCAGTGTCATTTAAAACGTAACCCCTACAAAGAAAGACAGACAAAGCAAACAACAGGCCACCCGGCGACCGGCGAACTCACAGCTTGGTTAAGAGCAGGCGACTTTCAGTTATGGAAAAAAAACACCCTAGAGTCTCATTATTCCCAAACGGTCTGTTACGAGGAACATTGGGCGTGCAAATTGTGGTGTGATAAATATACTTTTGTAGCTTTTACAGAGGTGAGAGATCTCGACTAGATTTGAATAATTTTTCTAGCCTAAAGTTTCGGAAGAGTTGATTCCGCTATTTTGAAATTGTAAGATATAATTTATCGTTTACTTTTAAAGTCATGGCGCGACGAGTTTCTTGTCTGGAACCCAGGCGACTACAATGGACAAACTGAGTTGCGCACTCTACGGCCAAACATATGGAAACCAAACCTGGTGGTGTTGGAAAAGTAAAATATTTTAACTATTTTTTTTTAGTTTAATGGCCTTGCAGATTAGTATTTTAAGAATTTTCTATGTTTTCTTTCCTGTAATGAAACCGAGGATTCCTCGACATATTCAGTTGCCTTGTACTTTGACTGGGAAGCCCGAAGAAATCCACAAGGAATAGTTTCAGAATTAAATATGAGAATTTGAAAATCTTTTACCTCATGCAGCTGAGACGGGAAGCATAAACACTCAGCGGGCCGGCAAATTCAATAAACATGTTATTGTTATTATTGTCATATATTGTGTATATATATATTAATAACATGTCTATATATTATTATTGTTTGCAGAACATTTTGTGTGTGCCCTGATATAACTAAAATACTTTGTTACTGAAAGCAGACTGGACATTAATTTTCACTAACTCATAGTTTAGTTTTAAAGTAAAGCATGCAAAAAATTATAAAAATGGTCATTCTTGCCATTGTTTATTTTGCAGCGTCAATTCCAACTTTGCTGTCCATGACAATACAGAAATCTCGATAACCTCCAACGGCACAGTCAACTGGTACGCCCCCGTCATTTACCAAACTGCTTGCAAGGTCAACGTTCGGCAGTTTCCTTTCGATGTTCAACATTGCAACTTGAGTTTCTTGTCTTGGACGTTCGACCAGTCACGTCTGGAACTGTGGTATTTCGATGACGAGGACGCTAAACAAGAAGTATTCAGCGGAGACGGTGTGTGGCACCTGGTGGACGTCGCTGCAGAACGAAAGGACGTGTTTTGGGCTTGTTGCGAGCAGCCCTTCTCCATTGTCGTCTACACGTTGACCTTCGAGAGGTCCTCTCTCTTCTACACCTTCAGCATCCTCATACCGTCAGTTCTCCTCACTACCATCACTCTGGCCTTGTTCTGGATGCCAGCTGAGTCAGGGGAGAAGATCTCGCTGGGAATGACCAATCTTCTCGCTTTCGTTCTCTTCCAGCAGCTCATAGCAGACAGCATGCCGCCACTCGGTGATCAAACCCCTATAATAAGTAAGTAGCGGTAAGTGCCGAAGTCCGTAACTCGTTAAGAAGTACCTTTTGGTTTGTACGACATTATCAAATGCACAATACGGGTGATTCACAATAAAGCGCCTCCAAGAGTTTGCAACGCATTGGCCAATCACAATTAACGAAATCTGTCGCCCTTTTCCATACGCGCATTGGGTCGACAGAGATCGCTCATTGTGATTGGTTAACGCGTTGCAAGTGATGATTGAACAAGTCTGTAGTGGACATTTTGTAGTAGTCTATCAAGGATGGTACTCTGTATATATATTTACACTTAGGCGGAGCTATGTCCGATGACTAGCGCGTGAGCGTTATCTACAATATACCGGTACAGTATAAACGTAGCACAAAAAAGTTTGGGTCTGTGAACTGACTGAAAGCTGAGTCCCACTGATAGCCCATAGGCTTTTAGTTATGACAGTTAATTCCGTTAAACAAGTAACTTTATTCGTTATGTACAATTGTCAGACAAAATAATAAACAGATCGCGTTCCATCCTACCAACTACCTTATCCCATGACGCTGGCTACAGAAAACTTCTTGAGCACTGATTTGATAGATTAATCACGTGATTTGAGTCAGTACCCTGCATGCGCCTGAAGGATGCGCACAGAATACATATATTGGCAGTTGTCACCAGTCACCTTTACTCGATAGGACTGGACAAAGGCCAAGAGCAAAAAGCACACAAAAATATTCCAAAATGCGAAGAGTGATATCAGAACGCTTCCCCGTAATGAAGCCCTGATATTGTGATGTCTGTAGCAAACTTTGAAAATTTGATGCGTTCAAATACGACTGAAATGGCTCACAAGTTGTGTTTCCTTACTCCCGCTAGCAATCTATCTCTTCTGCATGGTGGTTGTTGGATGTGCATCCATTTATGTGGCTGTGTACGTCTTGAGGCTGTATCACACACCCTCTGACAAACCTGTACCCCAAGGAGTCGTCAACGTCGTGAAATGCCTCAGTCGTCAAAAGGCTCCAGTCACCTGGCAAGCGGTATCTCGGATAATCGACAAGGGCATGTTTGCCGTGTTTCTTGTGTCGTCTGTCGTGATCATGGTAACCTCGTTTATTGCCGTCAAACATGGTGCCTGATGCCACTGGCCGGTTAATATCTTCAGAATTACATCACGCCAACCTTCTCGATAATACGTATATCAGTGCAGTGCGCATAAGCAGTGTGTAACTCATGCAAACTTTTGGGCACCACACCCTAAAAATGAACCTGTGGGTAGTTTTATATGTGCCAGGTATGTACAATTTCGTAGCAACATCAATAGAGATTCTTACACTGCACCTCTAGAACTGTTTCTTGTATGATTCTTCCCGAAATTTTTGAATGACGACTTACTTTGTATCTTTTTGTTTGTTTTAGGTTTTGAAAGTAGCCGGGAAACGTTGTGCTACAAAATTGCAGAAAAGCAAAATGTTTAAAGTGTTGTTGAAACATAGCTGAGAAATTTTACACTTGGCCTAATAATTAATTTTTTATTGCCTTTCTATATGAGCCTCAAGCTCGACCAGGAGAGGGCGCAACTTTCTTTGAAACGGATGCTCCGTCGGTTGGAACTGAACTTAACTGGTTCACGAACAAAACTAATGAACACTCCACACCAAATGGTTGTTTTCAGCCGATGAGGGGGCGCTTCTGCTCGAGCGGTCATGAGGAAGAATATAGTTGTGTATTGTTTATCGGAAAAAAGACAAGGCGGAAAGGTGGCAACACCGCCATTCCCCACCGTACAAAGAGACACTTTTGTTGCGCTTTTTAAATCATGATTTACCTTTATTCCTGCAGTCACTGGAATCTTTCGTAAACGCAGATTGTTCGTTTAAGTTCATTTCCTTATGTAGTGGACGGGCCCCACGTCAGTTGGAATTAGGAGGAAGAAGGTACGGTCCCCTAATTAAAGCGTACGAACACTTGGGGAGCACGTGTACAATAAATGATGTCTAACTCCAGAACTACAGTGTACTGCATGTGAAAAAAAGTAGGTGTATTGTAATGGCTAAACGGCACCGTAAATAATATAATGAATGTAATGGTTGCAAGACTACCCCCCGGTACCACATGGCAAACACAGCTAGCTGAACAATACAGTACAGCATGTTATACAGTCACAATACAGAACAAAGTAGGTTGACACGCCTTCTCCGATATTACTTAATAGGAGTTTTTAGCACTGACACTCTCCCACATTTAGGACGAAGCCATGCTCCCTGCAAATTAATAGAAGCAAAATGCAGAGTTCTACATTCGAGACCCAAAAACCAAGAGACCATCTTGATATTGCGTGCACAGGAAGCACCAGAAAGTAAAACCTTTATGTTAATTACCTCCGTGACGTGCATACGGATTAGGGTGCCCCTACTCAGGCACGGTTCCCTATACTTGTAAATTAATGCTTAAAATATATTGATTTGTTTTTAGTCTAGCTTTTTACAAATGAGTACAATATAATATACTCTCGTGCCTGTTCATCTACATACAAGACCACTGATCTTCATGTACATGTATTTTAAATTTTCTAAAGTGAGAGGTCAAATTTTGGAAGGTTTTCACTGTTTCAGGTCAGATAATTTTTCAGTTTCTGTAAACTAATATGCTAACAAATATTTCACCAAGGTCTTTTTTCGAGGTGATTCTTTCGAAAAAAAAATTACAAATTCTAAAATTGGTGCACGCTATAATTCCTGTTGTGGGAAAACAGGATTTTGCCCTTTAATGTAAAGCTAGTATGTATGTAACGTGTGCTCAGTGACTCATGGAAAAGCCCCTTTAAAATGAACGCCGCTGTATCCGGGGAGAAAGTTCCTTACTCATGTAAACAAAGGGTACATCCGCCTACTATAAGGTAGTGCCGCTCATGACACTTCTCGGGAATAACAGTAAATAAAGTATGAAATGAAGACTTCCGGTCCATGTAAACAGGGCTTACTTTTTGGGCTGTCTGGGATATTTTAAGGGGATCAGTTGTTTACCTATTTGTAAATTGTAGAGACCACTTGCGGATTAATAGAATAACTTTGTCTAAGTACATATTTGGCCGCCAGCAGAGTTCTCTCTCTCTCTGTCTACCACGCTGCAGAGGGAGATCAATGTGTGCGCTATCCGCATACTGACGGTAAGCTAATAGCTCATCCCTTCTGGTAATGGGATTTGAGTTAAGTAAATCAATTATTAAGAGGTGTATTTTCTGGCTGTTTTAATGATCGTTATTGGAACGTTCTGACGTGTGTACGTGCACTATGCATGC